ACGCCTGGCTTTTCGTTTTCACTACACGAGCAATTTAACTCCAGCGTTTGATTTTAGGTTCCCTGGATATTCTGCAAAAGGCATTAAGGCTTCCAGATCAGGTGTTTTGGTAGTTCACAAGTCACAACAAGCTTTTGTTGACTTCACTGGTATGTTTGTTGAATTTATTGTAGATTCAGAATCACTTTCAAGTTGAATCCTTCATGGTCCATTTTTAAAATGTTCAGCCTTAACTTTGTCAGATTTTATTTTGTGATATCGGCCTCAAGGCTCAAATAACTGGCAAAAATTTTGGCCTGCGATTGGCATTTGGCACTGCTGAGTAGATATAAAGTGTTTTCTGGATTAGTCTGTCACTATGCAGCCCTAAAAGTGATAAAGCTTTGTATAGCTTCTACATTGTATGTAGTATAGTAAATTTTACCCACAAGTGTATACATATTGATGAGATATTTGGTTTGGTATGAAAATTGTCCCATGGAAAAAATTTTCCATATGTGCAGTGTTTTAAAATAATTTAACATTTTATATATAATTATAATAGTTCTGCCATTTAATTGATGTAGTTTAAGTGCAGTATAGTTTATCAATAAAGTTTAAGCTAGGTTCACATTTAACAAAAGGATCAAAATTGCATAGGCGTTGATGCTAAAACACTTTCACTTTGAAGTTGGCATAAAATTGGCCAAATTCTAATTTGCATTCATTTACGTTGCATTTTATGACTAGTACAAACCAGGCTTTATAAAATGATTGCCATTTAGCTAATACATTCATGTGATTTTATTAGCTATCTTCACTAAAATAACAGTCACATGCTTTGTATTAGGTCACTCTATCTGAATGATAAAGCAATGGCACATGATAGGAGGGCAAGACAAGTGAGTTACTTACTATAAAGTTATTTTTAGTTTCATTTTAATCAACATTAATTGTTCTTTCCTGGTCCATCCGGATAACAATAGAAACCAGTTACAGTAAGCTTGCATATGATCATGTCAATGTTATCATGATTATCTGTTTTATAGGCTGTAAGTGACCGTATTAAACTTAATTTTATAATAATTTTTCTTTTACATCATTGTTACACTAGCCAATTATATTGGTAAGTTCATCTCCTATAATTTTCTATCATTATAATTTCATTTCATTACTTCTAGCATCGAAAAGAACGTGTAAGTAAAGTTAAGACATTGACACCACTGTAAAATCTACCTATAGGAAAATGAAACTCATGAAAAGAATGAAGAGCTAATCACACCGCAACCCAAAATAGGTACAGTTTCCAACATTAATGATTTTTGTTATTTATTTGTTTATTGAAGATTATGACAAGAAAGTGGCAGAAAAAGAGGTCGAAGTTGCTTATTCTAGAATAATGCTTCTTGGATCAGCTGGGGTTGGGAAAACATGTTTCACTCGATCGCTCATGGAAAAACCCTTTCTAAAAAATACTGACAGTACTATAGTATCCGAGCTCCATTCTATAGTACCAGTTAGACGGCCGGCTAAGGCAAATAATGACCAGCGATATTATGGTGTTCGTGACAGACACACTCCCAGTAGGAGATCTGATTATGATATACCAGATGATCCTTCACGACCAGATCGATTCATTCCTTCAGATGATCCTTCACGACCAGATCAATACATTCCTTCAGATGAAGATGACTTTACTTCTTTAAGAGGTAATATGCCACCACCAAACCAGCACGATCCACGTGATTTTCGATTTGATCAAAGGAGACCTGATCAGTACAAAAAACGAGATGATTATCCTTCACCAGATCGCTCTAGGCCAGATGATTATACTGCACTGGATCACCGCAGGCCAGATCGCTATAAGCCAGATTATTATTCTACACCGGATCGTTATGAAAGGTCAAGTCATAGACCAGATAATCCTGAGGATGTTTCTAGTAGCACCAGAAGATTTATTGGAGGGCAACAACCACAACCACATATAGATTTTACTCCTCTGCAGTACCAGAGTCCACCAGATCATGAGAAAGAGCCTCGGGT